CAAGAAAGTAGAGGAAAGCATGAGGATATTAAGGAAAGGCATAGAAGATACTAAAAAAGGAACTAGACATGAAAAAATATAATATCTGAGATGAAAAATATACTAGGTAGATAATCAGCAAATTAGATACTATAGAAGAAAAGAGTAGTGAACTGGAAGATGAATCAATAGAAACTATCCAAAATGAAACACAGAGTAGAAATTATTGGGGAAAAAAATGAACAGAACATCAATGAGCTGTGGGATTCCAAATAGCCTAATACATGTGTCATTGGAGACCCCAAAAGAGAGAAGAGGGCAGAAAAATATTTGAAGAAATAATTGCTAAATTTTTTTCAAATGTGATTAAAATCCAAGAAGCCCCATGAACCCCAAACACAGGAGAGATGGTGAAAACCACAGCACAGCACAGCATAAGCACTCTCTTCTCACCACCCACAGGTACTCAGCGTGGGGGATGAAAAGCAAAGTATCGGGGCACAGCCAGGCTGCAGTTCTGGCAGCGGGCAGAGGGAGGTGAGCCAGGCGGTGGGAATGCGGAGTCCGTAGGGCATTTTGAGAAGGATTTGAATAGGAGGTTGGTCAGGGAAGAACACCCACAGGAATAAGGATAAGAGAAATAAGTGTCCATGGCCTATTTTAGCTGGTTTATACCTGGGAGATTTAGCTCTAAATTTTCCGAAGACTATTCCTCCTGTTCCCAAGGGACCTTTATTTGTTCAGGGCAGCACATTCCTCCTTCTGGTAAATGTGTATCATGAGGGACTCATCATTTTCACAGACCCCATCTCCTCCATCCCTGTGATCAGATGCAAGCTCCGCCAACCCTGGCCCTTCCCCAGGAGTTTTGCCATCAGGAGCAGAGAGATGGGTCGCAGTCCCTTTTCAGTGGCAAAGCTGAAGACATGTGCCCAGAAGGTGCCGGGCGCCATGCTGCCTCCCTTGTGAAGAAAGCTCAGGGGAGAGTAAAGCTGATGGAGGGATGTTCGATGACAAGCCAGTCATTTTTGGTCCCCCCTAAAGCCCTCCACACTCCAGCCTTTCCCACAGTTTGGTTATATGAACCATGAAATTGCCCTCCTAGTTGCCTAAGTTAGTGCAACCAGTATGTTGCCAGCCAGCCCACCTCATGTCCTTTAGACTCTGATGGGAGTCCACTGTGTTCCCCAGGCCGGGCGAGAGACAAGTACTCGTCATGCCCTTTAAGTGAGGTGGGTTCATAACACAGCTTCCCCCAAAGGAATTTTTTGTATTCTCTCTCCTGTCATCTCTAACAACTTTAGAGGGCCGTTAGAATTATGTGACAAGTTTTCAGATATTTCCTTTGAAAGTCTACAATCTTAGTTTAGCACCTAACTTTGGCGTCTGAAATGTATCACCTTAGAGGCTTAGCTGAAACTTTCTTTTTAGCATCCTGCTATACTAATTTGATTTGAATTTATGACTGTTGTGACCAAATAATGCTGATAATAGCAGTCAACAAATATTCACTGAGTATCTGCTGTGTGCAGCCACGGCCCTCTTGAGCTGTCAGTCTAGAACAGTTTATGTGTATTTGGCCCACAGGCTGCATCCTGTCCATAGGCATATTTTGGATGATCCACATAGTCTTTAGGTTTCTCTTGAATCCACTGCCAATATTTAGAAACTGAGAAATTTCACCTAAAATAATCCAGATTCCTGCTGACATAGGTCTACACTGCTCCCTGGCACGAACTAGAGCTGTAGGCACCAGCATGCAGTCTCTAGGTAGACTCTACCCCCTCTGGACTACAACGAGCCAAGTGCCCGTTGCCATTTGTCATCAGTGGGCTCACACAGTTACCTTTCCGTAAGGCAGGAGGGTCACTTGACGTCAGGAGTTCAAGACTAACCTGAGAAACATAACAAGACCCCATCTCTGCAAAAAATAAGAAAAATTAGCTGGGCACAGTGTTGTGCGCCCATAGGCCCAACTACTCAGGAGTCTGAGGTAGGAGAATCAGTTGAGTCTAGGAGTTCAAAATTGCAATGAGCCATGATCATGCTTTAGCCTAGGCAACAGAGGGAGACTCTGTCTCTAAAAATAAAATAAAATAAAGAATAAAGTGAACTATTTCTGGTACTCATGTCTCTTAATAAAAGAGAGCTTCCATGGCTCTCTGTTGGCCAAGAGAGCCATGGAAGGGACAAAATTTCATTAGAAATAAAAAGTGTTCTTAGGCCGGGCACGGTGGCTCACGCCTGTAATCCTAGCACTCTGGGAGGCCGAGGCGGGCGGATTGCTCGAGGTCAGGAGTTTGAAACCAGCGTGAGCAAGAGTGAGATCCCGTCTCTACTATAAATAGAAAGAAATTAATTGGCCAACTAATAAAGTGTTCTTATATGCTTAATATGCAACTTGTGTGTGTAAAACAAAATGTAAGATGTCATTGGAAAAGAAACCATAGATGAAATTATTTTTATTATACAGAAAATATGGGGGGGTGACAATGAATTTTAAAAAAGACATTTTAACAAGATGTTTGGCTTTTGTTTTTGAGACAGTTTCGCTTTGTTGCCCAGGCTAGAGTGAGTGCCAGTCTAGCCACTGCTAGGCAGCCACTGCTAGGCGTCAGCCTAGCTCACAGCAACCTCAAACTCCTGGGCTCAAGCAATCCTCCTGCCTCAGCCTCCCGAGTAGCTGGGACTACAGGCATGCGTCACCATGCCTGGCTAATTTTTTCTATATATATTAGTTGGCCAATTAATTTCTTTCTATTTATAGTAGAGACGGGGTCTCACTCTTGCTCAAGCTGGTTTCCAACTCCTGACCTCGAACAATCCACCCACCTCGGCCTCCCGGAATGCTAGGATTACAGGCGTGAGCCACCACACCGGCAGGCTTCTTCTTCTTTTTTTTTTTTTTAAGAGAGGGTTTTGCTCTGTTGCCCAGACTGGAGTGCTATAGCATAATCATAGCTCACTCTAATCACCAGCTCCTGAGCTGTAGCAATCCTCCTGCCTCAGCCTCCCGAATAGCTGGGACTGCAGGTGCACACCACCATGCTAATTTTAATTTTTATAGAAGCAGGGTCTTGCTCTGTTGCTCAGGCTGGTCTTGAATTCCTGGCCTCCAGTGATCCTCCTACCTTGGCCTTCCAGAATGCTAGGATTACAGGTGTGAGCCACCACACCTGGCCAGGATTTATTTTTTAATGCAACTAAAATAAGTGGTGTGAACTACTGCAAAAGGACATTATATCCTCCCACTTCCCTCATTTGGGTTATGTTCTTGTTTGGCCCCTGACATTTGAGTTTGCAACAAGGGTAAAAACACTATCTGGCCTCTCTGGAAGGAATCCCACAAAGTGTGGATTCACTGTCTAAGGAATCTCAGCTCAGGTGTGAGGAGCAGTAGCATGAGAGTTGCCCCATGGTTGTCATCACACAGGGAAAAAGTGACACGTATTTGGCAAGTTGATGAGGTTCCCTTTTCATGGAATGACAAAATACGATTGTTGACAGAGTATTAAACTCTGAAATGAACTCTTTTTGCAAATTATGTTTTTAGATTTATTTTAAATGTAAGCCTTTTTTGTTTTTCTTACTGAATTTTTAAAGTTCTTGATATATCAAAGAAGGTCTCTTATCTATTTGTCTGAAAGCAAAACCAGAATTATTCTAAGGAAAGGCTTTCGCTTGCCTCGGGGTATTCTCTTGTGAGGTAAGCCTTCCATTCAGTTATGTGTCCTAGTTTGTATCTTCAATTTTAAGAAAAGAATTTAATTCTCTCACTGCAGCTCAGCAGATTTTGAAAGCCATGAGTCTGGCCTTAATTGGCCTTGCAGAATGAGTCCTGTGAGGTACTCATCAGCCTGTGTAACTTCCCTCTCTTGGCCATTCAGGGCTTATTAAAGGCTGAGTTCCTCGAAAGCCTTGCTGCCTGGCCCTTCCATCCAGTGTTTTGGCCTTGTATTCTGTTTTACCCTCAGGTGGAGCCAGGCCAGCTGAGAATTGCATTCGTAGGCCACATTATTTTTGCATACACACACACACACACACACTCACATACACACACTCACTTTGCCATATTGAGCAGAGCTATAAGAAACAATCCCTTGACATTTCCTATCATTTTCCTTATACAAATATTTTTGAGGACACAAGATTCCCTCAAGTCTTAGTACCAAGAATAGCTATGATTCTCCTGTTTATTTTGTAGATACTGTGAACCATGAAATCAGTGCTTTGCACTTAATTTTTGCTGTGGACAGATGGACAAATCCTGGGGACAGCTCTGTAATCCTCCTCCAGGAAACACACAGGGCCTTAAGACGTTCACTGTTGGTGTTCCTCTTACCCCAGCTGCATTTTGGTTTTTTCCTATGCTTATTTCCCCTTTGGGCTCCAGATTCCTCCCTTTTGAAATCTTATAGTCCATACAATTTTGTAGGACTACATCAACCTCATTTTGGAATGAGGTGAGATATAAAAAACTTAAAGTATTAATGCTTAATCATTTGTTGCAAACATCTTACCAGTTTTTAAATTTTATTTTAAACTGTGTAATCCAATCTGTTGATTCTTTGTGATTACCATGAAGAGAATTGTTGCCGTGGATTTGAGGACCCGTTGTCTGCCACATCTTCACCCCACAGTTAACATGGCTGATTCAGCAAATATTGTTTAGAGCTTAGAGAAAGCAGAGATTGCTTCTGACATTCTTACTTCTCCAGGGTCCAGTTTCATGGTTTACAAATTTCAGCTCTAAGTACCATATTTATGCAGGAAGGTAATTATGTAACATAGGACTGGTTGGCCTAGAATGCCTGGGAAATACCTGGTGTTGAACCTGGTCCTTCATAAAACAGGTGTTCCAGTAGCATTTTGTGCCTTGTGCATTTGGTTCTGTTCTGTGAAGCAGTTGAATCACATTCTTTTCTAAGGGCTGTCTGTGGTCTAGGTCTGGGGATGCAGTCTGCTAGTGTGAGCAGTGGCTTGACTTCTGTGACATTTTCTGCTTTTCTTTTCTTTTTCAGAGTATGATCGGTTGGGCTTCCTCCTGAATCTGGACTCTAAACTGTGAGTAGCATGAGAAGGTGCCTTGGCTCTGTGGTAGAGAGATCTGCGAAAGCTGGGGTCTCACTCTGAAGGGTCCGCTCTCATTAGCCCTGTGGTCTTTGGGAGATTCCCTGGGGCCTCTGTCTATAGAATCTTTGTGCATGTTACAGTCTTCAGGGGCCTGGGGAGGATGGGATAGTGGGTGCAAACATAAGGCCTTAGATTTGGCTGGCACAGGCAGCTCATTATAGAAGGCGGCCACTGCCAGGAATTTGAGGGACAAGGAGGCCCCTGGAAATACTTCATCTAAGGGTGGGAACAGTTGAGTCACAGCAGGAGGCAGTGGCCTCTCAAAAATGCTCTGTCACCTGGCATGCACAGTCTTCCACATCAGTCCCCTGTTTTCCTCTCCAGCTTCAACGCCAGTCACTCCAACCACAGGTGAACCCTCCTTTCCCCCCTGCCTTTACATGTGCTTGTTATCTGTGTCCCTTTCCTTACTGGACCACTTGGAAATCTCAAAGACCACTTCCTCCAAGCCACACAAAGTTGTCTCTTCCTCTATGCTTCCTTTGAGTTTCCTACCTCTTGTTACAGAGTATCTCACTAGACTATAACAAACTGTGTAATAATTATTAATTTATTAAGGGCATAGACGCAGAGTCAGGCAAAGCTTGGTTCAAATTCCAGATTGCCATTTATTCTCTTTGTGATTTGAGGCCAGCTACTTAGCCATTCTGAGCCTCAGTTTTATCTGTAAGATGAAGACAATATACATACTTCACAGGATTAGTAAGGATTCCGTCAAAATGATTAACTCATAGGGGACTGTCAAACACAGAATATCAAACCCTTCCAGGATCCTTCCCTATTCTGGCCTTTGTGTTCTCTATAGTGCCTAGATAGTTCTGACATATGTTTGTTAGGTGCTCATGGATGGATGGATGGACGACAGGAGGATGATTCTGCCCTTCCCTACTTGACCAGCAAGCGTTGGGTTGGAGCTCTATCTACTATGAGAGTTTGAGCCCTGTGCAAGACTACTCACATGGCTGCTACTCAACAGGGGCTTGCAAAACCACCTTACTACCTACTGTGGCTCCTTTCTGTTGTTATTCATCCTTGTTCACCATGTCCCCTGTCCTGTACCAGAGAGACATCATGAAAGATGAGAATTGCATCTCCTTCCTTTCCTCTCTTGCCTCAGGCCTTGTCCACAACTGCTTCTGATGGTGATGGCCACAGCTACATACAGGACATCAAACCAGGGGCTGTTTGGCTTTCCCACTGAGTAGCCTGGCATCTGGCCCCTTTTATTGGAATCTGGCTTTTTGGCTCTGGTGCCTCATAGTATGAGTTCAGGCATTGTAACTCCCAGCTTTTATACGTCATGGAGGCAGCTACGAGGGAAGAATGGTCTGCTCTTTCCACTAGGCTAGTAGAGAGATGTCAGCCACATGTTAACATCTTAGGAATGGAGCTTGATTATGCTAAAAAGCCACAAGCTTCACACTTTAAAAAATTCTTAATTTAGTGCTCTGGGCAAAAAACAAATCAAGTGTAATCCATAAGCAAGTGAAATGCCACTGGAACAGAAGAGATATAGTAATTACCAAGTTGAATCACATTGATGAACAAAAGACGTGTTATCTAGGACATGTTAACTATAGTATTTAAACTGTCTTCAACGGTATAAGGAGGAGCATGAGGAGGACACTCCTGCCCTCCTGTCCTGACTGTTGGGTGGTGCAGAGTAGGCTATTGTGTAGCTTTCTGTTTAGTATCAGGCTTGTTCCATGAACCCTTTGAGTCAGCCTAGTCTTTAGCACAGTGAATTAGCTTGGCCTCATTTGATTTAACTCACAATCTAAGGTACAAGCTAGAATTTTCCTGAGTCTTGCTATAGATAGAGGCTTGTCCAATCCAATGATGTCTTCAGAAGAAAGCATAGATTTATGAGAAAGATTTCTACCTGTGTCCAGGGAGATGCTTCCAAATTAAGGATTCTGCTTTTAGGGGGCAATTCCTCAGAAAAGTACAGATCTCCCCTTACAGAGTCTTTCTCTGGTTGTGTTACATTCTATTTCTGATGTATAGGAAAGGACCTGAACTTGGATCAGAACTGGATTTGAATTCTGCCTCTGCTGCGTAGTATTACATAACCTTAGATCATTACTTTAGCTTTTTGAATTCTAATTTTCCTTTATGAAAAATGTAGACACTAACACTCATTTCCTATGGTTTTATTAGGAGTAAAAGAAAGGGTTCTTTAAAGTATGAATATGTAAGGCATTCTTTTCATTTTTCTTGACTGGTATTTAGCTTCTTTTGTTTTGGAGACAGAGTCTCACTCTTGTTGCCCCGGCTAGAGTACCGTGGCATCAGCTTAGCTCTCAGTAACCTCAAACTCCTGGGCTCAAGTGATCCTCCTGCCTCAGCCTCTTGAGTAGCTGGGACTACAGGCATGTGCCACCATGCCCGGCTAATATTTTCTATATATTTTAAGTGGCCAAATAAATTCCTTCCAATTTTTTTTTTAGTAGAGATGAGGTCTCACTCTAGCTCAGGCTGGTCTCGAACTCCTGAGCTGAAACGATCTGCCCCCCTCGGCCTCCCAGAGTGCTAGGATTACAGGCATGAGCCACCACACCTGGCCTTTTTTTTCCTTTTAACACTGTGTGCGTTTCCAGTAATTATTTAGCTTCTTAAGTATACGAATTCATATGTTCTAGAAAATTTCCAGCCATTTATCTCCTTAAATATTGCCTCTGCCCCACTCTCTTTCTACTCTTCTTCTGAAACGGATTACATTTTAGACCTTATCATTCTAGCCTTCAAGTCTGTTAACTTCTCTTTCATGTTCTCCATCTTTGATCCTTTCCACATTAAACTGGAAAGTCCCAAAGGACTCAGCATCAGGATAAACTAGAACTAAATCTGCACCCCCAAGCCAGGACTGCAGAAAGAGTTACCATAGCTCTGAATAGATCAGGGCAAAAAGTTAATTTAAAAAAAAAATTGCTATTTGTTGCCAGAGTTCTCACCACTCACATGATCTAAGGAACCTCAAGTCAAGAGTTTAGTTTAAGGTATTCCAGACTGGCAGTGCCGCCAAGCACCTGGCAGAAACAAATACAAATTCTCTATAGAGGAAGACATGAATTCTTCACAAATAACCTCACAAGGAAACAAGCAGTTTACAGTAAAAAATAACTAAACACACAAGGAAACAAGCTTCCATTAGTGAGAACCATGAAAAACAAAAAACAACAGAGGATTTCTGAAATTGGAATTACCAGACATATTGTATAAAGCAATTATATATTTAAGGAAATAAAAGACAAATCATGCCATTTTACTCCAGCCTAGGCAACAGAATGAGACCTTGTCTGGAAGAAGACGGGAGGAGGGAGGAGGGAGAGGAAGGAAGGAAGGAAGGAGAGGAAGGAAGGAAGGAAGGAAGGAAGGAAGGAAGGAAGGAAGGAAGGAAGGAAGGAAGGACAAGATTGAACTATATGTACATAATAGGGACTACAAAAAGTAAAATATCAAATTTAAAAAGCAGTGAATTTATAGAATTGAAAAATACAATGAGAGAAAGAAATAAAAGTCATCAAAATTGGAAAGGAGGAAGGCAAATTGTCCCTATTTGCAGACAATGTGATCTTATATATAGAAAACCCTAAAGACTTACCAGAAAATCTCTAGGACTAATAAATTCAGTAAAGTTGCAGGATATAAAATCATTATACAAGAATCAGTAACATTTCTATATACAAACAAACTAGCTGAAAAAGAAATCAGAAAGGCAATAAATCCCATTTATAATAGCTACAAAAAGTAATAAAATACCTAGGAATAAATTTAACTAAGAAGGTGAAAGACCTCTGCAAATAAAACAGCAAAACACTGATGAAAGAAATTGAAGAGAATACAAATAGAAAGACATCCCATGCTCATGGATCAGAAGAATTAGATTGTTAAAATGACCATAATACCCAAAGCAACCTAGAGAGTCAGTGCAATCCTTATCAGAATACAAATGACATTCTTCACAGAACTAAAAAAAAATCTTAAAATTTGTATGGAACCACAAAAGATGCTGACTAGCCAAAGCAATCTTGAGCAAAAAGAGCGAAACTGAAGATACCACACTATCAGACTTCAAGATATACTACCAAGCTGTAGTGACCAAAACAGCATGGGACTGACATAAAAATAGACCCATAGACCAATGGAACAGAATAGACAACCCAGGAATTAATCCATATATCTATAACCATCTATTTTGACAAAGGTACCAAGTATACTCATTCGGGAAAGGACAGTCTCTTTAATAAATGGTCCTGGGAAAACTGGATATCCATATATAACAGAATAAAACTAGAGCCCCACCTCTCACCCTATACAAAAATCAATTCAAAATGGATCAAAAACCCACATGTAAGACCTGAAACTATAAAGCTGCTAGAAGAAAACATAGGGGAAATACTTTAGGACATTGATCTGGGAAAAGATTTTATGAATAAGACCTCAAAAGCACAGGCAACAAAAGCAAAAATAAACAAATGAGATTATATTAAACTACAAAGCTTCTGCACAGCAAAGGAAACAATCAACAGAGTGAAAGACACCTAAGAATGGGAGAAAATATTTGCAAACTATTCATCTGACGGGATTAATATCTAATATATACAAGGAACTGAACTATCGCAACAGCACAAACACAAATAGTCTGATTAAAAATGGGGCAATGATCTGAACAAACATTTCTCAAAAGAAGACATACAAATGGCCAACAAATATATGAAAAAATGTTCAACATCACTAATCATCTGAGAAATGCAAATCAAAACCATAATGAGGTATCATCTCACCCAAGTGAGGATGGCCATCATCAAAAAGACAAAAAATAACAAAGCTGGTGAGGACATGGAGAAAGGGGAACTCTTATACTGTTGGTGGGAATATAAACTAGTAGAGCCACTATGTGGAACGGTATTGAGGTTTTTCAAAGAACT